GTAGGGAAGGATACACAAAGGATAGATTTGAAAACATAAGGACAGGCCAGAGATAAACTGCCTCAGGATGTGGAGGTTTCCCTTCAGTCACCATGGCTACTAATAACCATTCATTGCCCATATTTGAGTGAATGGAAAGGAAGAAGCAGTTCAAATGGTGAATGGGATTTCAGTTGTGTTCTCTACTGATTCCCTGTTAACAAAAGGAAGCCATGCAATATTAATAATAATGCCTGTTCAGTAATGACAGCATTCTCAGCAACAAGCCATTTGCAGGCCCAAAGACAACCCCAACATCCAAGAAGCCTCTGAATATAGCACAAGTAAGCAGATCTGTAGCATCACCTTCACAAAATGCCCAGCAGAGTTTAGTTTACAACTAAAGGGGCAACTGTTAATCTGTACTGAAACCAAATGGATTTATCTTAAAGAAATGCTTCAGACCTTGTGGGGCACATATCCAACCCAGTAGAAGATGTTCGTAATCTTTTGCTTCATACTCTGCTGTAGACCACTTACATGCCGGAGCAGGAGGGAGATTGGGGCCAAAAATGAGTTACCATCCCATACACTCCATCCCTTTGTCATGCCAAACAGACCAAAACACTCAATGCAACATGCAGTCAGTTTATGGAATTCACCATCCTCAAAAGTTGTGATGGTTTTCTTAAAGAGAATCTACACAAAATCATGGAGGATAGTCTAAGCAGCTATGAGCCTCAACAGCACTTTTACTTTCTGAAGCAATATAACCAAATTTCAGGTGAGAGACAATGGGAAAAGGCATTTGCCTTCAAGACCATTACGCTAACCACTACTGGAAACAGAATGCTGGACAAGAAGGCTATATATAACCTAATGAACAACTCTGTGCCATATTATAGCTATTGCCCAATTATCATTACCCTGATGCCTATTATAACCTGATCTGAAACTTCTGGCCCTGCCTGATTGATTCATCTACAACTCAGCCCTACATACTTTTCATGACTAGGTGCTGCTTGCTAAAAGTCAGATGAGTTACGGGGTGGTGGTGGTATATAATCATCTAAACCAGTCATCCTAAACATACAGAATCTCAAAACTCAGCAGGGCTTATTTTCTAAGTTAATGTATTTAGGATCCGGTCGAAAGCAAGAAATTGCAAGTAGATAAATAGGTACCACTTCAGTGGGAAGGTAACAGCGTTCTGTGCGCCTTGGTGTTTAATCATGCTGGCCACATGACCACGGAAATGTCTTCGGACAGCGCTGGCTCTTCGGCTTTGAAACGGAGATGAGCACCGCAACCCTAGGGTCGGACTCGACTGGCTTTCGGGCAAGGGAACCTTTACCTTTACTTTACAAGATCAAAAGTTATAACTATGCATTACAACATTCCAATTGGTGGACAACTTGCAGCCACCAAGGCTGTGAGCACACACCTTTGAATCCAGAGTATCTCAGCCCTCATAACCCCCCTTTCCACTCCTTTGAGAGAAAGAGAGAGATCTGAATGCATAATGGGAACGAATTCAACATACTTTCCAGATGCTAAATAATTCTGCTTGAAAGAAATAAAGCAAGATATACTATCAGCCTCCACATGACAGATAGGCATGCAAAGCACTTACTCAAAATACAGATGGTATAAACGGAGTTGCCCATCAATTATTTGTAAGCACCAGGTGATGTCTCAACGGCCTGATTCAGTGTAACACAGCTTTCCCCTCTTCAATGTGCTGAAGGAGCGGTTTTCCTACACTTACACCATACCAAGCCACCATTACCCACCAGTCTCCTATCCCCTCCGCCCTGATCCTGAAAGGCAGAGCAGGTGGGATGGCGTTAGTACAGTACAGAAAGGATGAGGAAGATGAAAAGGGAGACAGGGGTTTCCTAGGCATTGAGCTTTTTGGACCAGCAAAAGAGCCAAACAAAGCTGCACCTGTCAAAACTCCCATGCCACTCTTAGAGGCACCAGCTCCCTCCATTCCCCTTCGCACCTGGACCAGGACCCCCACCCTACTTCCTCAGCCCCCATTTCCGATCTTTTTTCCCCCCACCCCTCCCCCGGGAAAATGAAGACCCCCCCCCACCGGCCCCCTCCCAACAGGTGCCACACCCTTTTTTATTCGTTATACCCCCTCACTCAAATCCTTCTACTCGCCGGGCCCCACTGAGCTCCTTCGTCCTCCCACCTCTTCCTTCCCGTCTCCTTTTCACCCGGCTTCTGACTGAAGACTCCGCCAGCGTCGAGCTCCCCCAGACCGCCCCGGATGTTCCGCTGCCACCACCAGGGCGCGCGCGCGGGGGGGGGCGCGTCTTCCGGAAGTGACATACCGACGTTGTTCCTGGCCGGCTTGTACGGAATTCGGAACACGGAGGCCCTTATGGAGGCTGTCATCTTGGTTGCCTTCAGGCTGGTGCTATTTTTTAAAAAAAACACTAGCTGTCTTTTAATAGTTGATGCTAAAATAAAAGTTTTCTCTCTAAACTTTTCGTGCCCCTTTGCTATGTGTAGTAATTTATTGGAAATGGCCAAAGGTGTTAGGTAAAATTGCGAAGACAGAAAATGCGAAGGTTGTTTGGAAATAACAATAAAAACAAGTTAGATTAAACATTAAGAAAAAACAATAAAATTTCCTAGCCTAAAAACAAAACAAAACCCCTACTTTAAAAAGTACTGTAGCTCTTTAATATTCTCATGCTTTTCAAAATTATCTCTCATACCTTTTTTAAAAAAGCACTGCTATAACATTTTAATAGTGTGGTGAAACACAGGGAATTTTTGGGAATTTACCAGTAATAAAATATATTTTTATTTGATTTTGCACCATTGCCTTTGCCTTGTTTTTATCTCCTTTGATTGCAGAGCAGCAGCTTATAGTGACGAACTTTAACTTTAAAAAAGTTAAAATTATATCTTGCATTTTAAAAAGTTCATTGCTTGGAAAACCAGTAATTCCCATATTTCCATAGCTTAGAAAAATGCTTTAATCATTGCCAGTGCACTTTATTTGGCATTTTCGTGGTGATAACAACAGCGGGGGACAGGGGACGGGACGGGTTCATCATTAACAAAAATGGCAATATTAACCTGGAGGGAAGTTAATTGCTCATTTGTAATAATGTTGCTAAAGAGCAGGGTAGGCATGACTGATTGCTGTCTGGGAGCTGGCTTTGTGCCGTTGTGGCTGCCGCTATAACATGAGGCTGAATACTGGTGCTGTCTTGTCTGCCCTGCCAGGTGCCTGTTTCGCTTGCCCTTCCTGCAAGTCTTACAGGCTTGTCAGCATGCACTGAATTTTTAAATTTTGGATAAGGGTGGCACACCTTGCAGGGTTGCCAACAGCCAGGTGTGGCCTGGAAACCTGGAATTACAACTCATCTTCAGAAGAGCAGGATTACAGTGCCATAGCACCTTAAAAGATGAAGCCTTTGACAAAGGGAGCGTTGATTCAAAAAAGCTAAGGTGCTATTGTACTCAGATCTTGCTTCACTACTGCAGACCAACATGGCTACCCACTTGAAACTCATCTCCAAAGATTAATGCTCCTGGACCTGAAGGAAACAGCAATTTTGGAGGCTAAAGGCTTCACATCCTTTCTGAGCTCCCTTCCCATATGCTGCCATCCTCTGGCATCTGCCTATTATTTGGCCAAGATCAAACACTTCCCTGAAGCCAAGAATGCCACTCTTGAAGGTGACAGCTTTTTCAAATCTTGTTTGCTAACAAGGATAGCTATGCAGGCTCCTTAGAATGAAGGCCTGTGGCACTCAGTTGCCCTAGCAACATAGGCAAACTTACCCTCCTGGCCACCTACTGTTCAGCCTTGAATGCACCCCAGGACTGAGAAAAATTGGCTTGTGGCCTGCTTAACACATCTGCTTTCTTTTAATAATTGGCTTGATTGTTGGTTATTTTTGTTCGTCACAATAAGCTGCTGCTCTGCAATCAAAGGAGATAAAAACAAGGCAAAGGCAATGGTGCAAAATCAAATAAAAATATATTTTATTGCTGTTAAATTCCCAAAAATTCCCTGGGTTTTGCCAACAGGTTTCATCAGGGGAATCTGTTTGTCTTGTAGTAGTTCTGAGTAAAAGATCAGTAAAAGAACAGGTCTTTTTGAAAGAGTAAAAGATCAGTTCTTTTTGAAGACCTACTACTAGACGAACAGATTCCCCTGCCTTATGTTTTATCTCCTGGGATTGGTGTGGCTCTTCGTCTTCTTGCTCTTGTGATAAGAGATCACCAATCAAAGCCAAATTGTGACCAATTCTTATTCACAAAAACCTAGTATCAATATCTGTTCTGATCTGGATGGCCCAGGCAAGTCTGATCTCGTCAACTCTTAAAAGCTAAACGTGGCTAGCTGTAGTTACTACTTAAATGGGAGACTACCAAGGAAGTTCATGGTTGCAGTGCAGAGGCAGGCAATGGCAAATCACCTCTGTTCAACTCTTGCCTTGAAAACCCTATGATGGCACTTTGCCTACAGACAGGATCACAATTCAAGTCAATTTCATTGGTTGTCAGTTGCAATGTCAACCTGGTTGGCCTAGGCTAACCTGATCTCAAAAACTAAGGCGCCTTGGCTCTGGGTAGTACTTGGTCTGGAGACCACCAAAGTAGCCCAGGGTTGCTAAGTCTAAGGTTCTTCTTTTTAGTAAAAGGTGGAAGATAAAAAAAAGTGGTTGGTAGGAGGTCAACCTATGGAGCAAGTAGAGCATTTTAAATATTTAGGAATCATCTTTAAAGCAAATAATTCCTGGAAGATGCACTTGAACTCTGCTGTTAGAGCCGCTAAGAGTGCTAGGAAGGCCATCTCAAGATTTTATTATTCCACGGATGGCCAATATGTTCCTGCGGCAGTTAAAGTATTCACCGCTAAAGTTACTGGGCTGATGTTATATGCCACCGGAGTCTGAATCAGTGCAGTAACAGACAATATTAACAGATCTCTATTAAGATTCCTATACAATATTCTGGGAACACCTCAGTGTGTCTCTGGAACAGCCCTGAGAGCTCATGTTGGGGAGATGTCTTATGAAGGAAAGGCCTGGGGAAGAGCATTCGACTTGAAAATTAGGACTCTACATTCAAACCCAGATCTACGCCTCCTTGGACTAGTTAAGCTGGACCATCACACAAGTGATTGGGACAGATTACTGGACCATAACCTATTATGTCTGGATATCACCCATGGCGTGACAGAAGTCACAAGTAGACAAGAACTGTCACAGCTTATTAAAAAGACATTTGAGAGACTTTGACTACGAGAACATGTTGATTAGAGCCCACAGAGTATGCTCAACCTTTTCAGTAGGCATTCAGCCTCCAACAACAATGCCAAGCTACTTATCTGAGATATGTCTTCTAAAGTATAGAAGGGCATTCATGCCAGCGAGCCTGAATGCCCTACCTTCAGCTGTGATGTCAGGAAGATTTAATGGGATTTCATACTCAGATTGACTCTGTAATTGCAACAGCAGTAAAATTGACTCTGGGGATCATATTCTGCTTGATTGCCCTGGATTTTCAGCTCTGAGAGATGAACTGATCTTCCCTTTTTTAATCAGGACTTCCTCTCGCCAGAAGCAAAATCATCCTGGTTACTTAGAGACGAAGACAAACTACTCTGTGTGTGGCAAAATTTCTAGCAGTTGTTGTCAAATCACATGACAACTTTTGCAGTAGCAACCTTTAAAATTCTTCCATGTTTTCCTGTGGAACAAGGTTTATTGTGGGATGAGGGTCTGCTGTTCATGACTGCAGTTGCAAAAACAGTAAAGGCAATAAAATAAAATAAAATAGAAAGGCAAAAGAGAGTGACTCTCTATGGCAGAATAGTCAGCCAGAAACTTATGGCTGCAGTCCTTGCTGTAGCTAATTACAGCGTACTAGCAGCCTGGGCCCATGCAGCTAGTCAAGTCTTCGTGGAACAACTTTGTAGGATCCAGCTGAAAGATTTCATACCCCTCAGTGCTTCTTCAGTGGCAAAAGACCTTACTTCCCTAGATAGCAAGAACCTATCAAGTTCGGGCCTCACTTGCCAAATATTTCCTGCTTCTTATACTTATGTTCTGTTGCATTAGGGGTTCTTGTTCCACATTTTATTATTCCATTGGTTGTGTTATGGATTCACATGTATTTTTATACAGTTCCTAAGTTGCACACAACTTTGCTCTTCTTCACTGCTAGTTATCATCTCTGCTGAGAACTGGGGGGGGGGAGTGAATGTGTACGGTTGTCTGCTTTGCTTGGTTAGTGCCAGCTTGTAACAGTGCTCATGCAGGGGCCTCCCCAAGTGTGTTGAGAATACCTTGGAAAGTATATGATCTCATCATACTGTGTGACCTTGTAGTCTGGGGAGCTTCTAGATAATGTAACCGTTAGCTTGCAGGTGTTAGGGACGGTCGCAGGGGCAGACATGTGGCTGGCCGAATGGGAGCAATGATCGGTTGCTTGGCATATGTGGAATTTCTTGCTTTCAGTATATTGGCAGAACTGGCATCTGGGACCCAGTTCTGACACAGAAGCTGTCTGTGCTTGGAACTTCTCTAATTCTTAATAAACAAATCTTGCTGCTACAAGAGTGTGAGTGCATCCAGGACTTGACAGAACCACTGCTTCTCAGAGTACACAGCACTTAGGTAGATGAGGGTCCCCAACCTCTTTCAACTTGCAGTCACCTAAATACCAGGAAAGTCCAGTATTTCGGGATGACAGTGCTTCCACTCCGCATTTCTGGCTGTCTGAACTCCCCTCTTGTGAGGCCAATCCATTTGGGAAATCTAAACTTTCCCTTCCATTTCCACATCCTTTTTTTAAAAATCAGGTAGCGATGTTCACATAAGTGCATAATCACCCCATCATAGTCAATCAACTCAGCCAAGTAGTTATTCTGGATCGGGAGACCCTGGGGGAGTTGTTTTCCAGCGACAAATCCCCTCCCCCAAACCCCTCTCTCCTATTTCTGCGGCAGAGTCTGAGAGCATCCCATGATTGACACAAGGGTAAATGCACTGAAGTCAAGAGGACTAGTCACATGTAAATCTGCACTCCCCCATGTATTCCATGGAAGAGAGGCAAAGGGAAGGAGGCCAAGAGGGGCCAGAGTACTTGGCAGAGAGATTGTGGAGCTGTCAAAAAGGAGCCAGAGCTTCGGAAACATGCTTATGCACATGGGTGGAAAAAAAAAGAATGCCACAACAATCTGAACGATGGACCACGGGGAGAGAGTGTAGTGAAGCATGAAGATGTCTGATCAAAACTTCCTGCAACTATTTAAACCGCCGCAAAGAGAGGTGCAGCCAGATCATGCCAAGCTTCTGGGTTTTTAAATTCTGGCTGTTGGTTAGTTGCTGAATAGATTGGCTTGACTCCTATACCTTTGCTCTGTGCCCGCTTCTCTGTGAGCACTGCAGAGCTGAGTCTCTGCCACAGAGCTCCCATCCTCTGGATGTAGGCTTCTGATAGGCTAATATTTTTCAAGTAGCTCCAAAATGTCTAGTGAAAGAGGAAAGTGTCCTGCAGAACTGCCTCGACAGCACATGGAGACATCCATGTGCAGAGAAAATGTATAGGCAACTGAGACTCTGTGGTTTTGTAAATGGCTTTGAATGTACTTTAGGAGACAAGCGGCATATGAAGAGAATCAGTAGAACTTCACTGTTCATGATCCGTTGGCCCTTGGTTAGCTGGTAGCACAGGAGATTTCAGGGAAGGGTGCTTGATGCTTTCCACTCTGCATCTGTCCCATCTTTGAGACCAGAAAGCATTTCCAGCACCAACAAACCAAGGCTCTTTCTCTTACCAACTACATCCCGCAGGTTTTGTTGCTTCCATATCAGAGTTTCATTTCCTGTTTTGCTTGTTCTCCTCTATATTTAATTTTATGCCAATGACTTCCTTTCTTAGAGGTGTAAGCGTGTTGCAATCAAGAGACAAAGATTTTTTTTTGCCATATTTATTGGGGGGGGGGATAACAATCAAGCCACCTTAGAAAGTCACACCTACAACAGACTAACTCTTTGGCTCCCAAGGTTTTAGGCAAACAACTGAACCTATCAGGCATCAACAAAAAGGCAACCGAATAAATGCCTATGGAGAGGCATGACTGGTCTGTTCGCATTAACATGCTTGGAAGTGAGCCAGGATTCTCCCTAGAAAGTCACTCATCGCTGCCCCCCCCATTACATTCCAAAGCCAGAACCAAACCCCCAATTGTGCAAATGATCCCAGTGTTGTTGCCCTACAACCTCACACCTTATATATGCTCACCAGCAGTTAAGCAGCCAATCAGTGGCTGAGAAAACAGCCAGCCCCCTGGAAAGATATTCTGTAGTCAAGACAACTGCTGTGCAGACCAGCAAGGAGCCATTCCTCAGGGCTTTCAAGCTTCTAAGCTGTGACTGTCCTTTTGGCAGCAGCAGGGATGGCTTTTGACATGATCGCCATCTGTTGGCACCCTGCTTTTCCAAAAAACACCCTCTTGCACACAAAAAGAATTAAATCTATGACCCTCCTTGTTGCCACAAATGTTCCGAGTTCACAAAACAGTTGTGCGATATGCGTCTCCAAAGCTAAGAAATGAAATGTGTCTGCGGCGTGACCTGATCGATTCTGTGGTCAGCAGGGTTTGCTGCTGCTTCATAGTTGCAGATCGTCACTTCGTGGCGGCGAGCCTGCAAAAGAAACAAGATGAAAACTTCTTTAAAGTCTGCTACCTTGAAAGTGTCAGAGCTCTGGAAAGCCAAGTCTGACCCCCCCCCCCACTTAAGCACTGACTCTACTGACGGGAGCTGTGGTGGCTCAAGTGGTTAAGACGCTGAACTGCAGGCTGTGGAAGGTCAGCAGTTCAGCAGTTTGAGACCCGGGTGCCACAAGACGGAGTGAGCTCCCATCTCTAGTTCCAGCTCCCGCCAACCTAGCAGTTCGAAAGCAAGAAACTGCAAGTAGATAAATAGATACCACTTCGGTGGGAAGGTAACAGCGTTCCATGCACCTCGGGGTCTAGTCATGCTGGCCACATGACCATGGAAATGTCTTCGGACAGCGCTGGCTCTTCGGCTTTGAAACGGAGATGAGCACCGCAACCCTAGAGTCGGATTCGACTGGCTTTCGAGCAAGGGAACCTTTACCTTTACCTACGTCTGTAGATTTTGCCCACAATTCAGTAGCATTCACTGCCTCTGAATAACTCACATCTGCTGCAAGCAGCTTCCCCCAAAGCATGGGTTGCCATCCTCCAGGGAAGTATACCACCCCCCACATCCTACCCAGCCAAGCAAGCTCTAAGCATGCACTGTGGCCACTCAGGTGTCCAGCTGGCTGGGGCAACCAAAAGTTGTCTATCTTGGCAGGGCTCAGCACTGGAAAAAAATCAGCAACTACTTTTCTTACTAGTCTCACCTTCTTGATCTGGAAAGCTGAGAGGAAAGAAGCAGGAATTTCTGAACAGCCGACAGCCTGCTTCAGCTATCAGAATGTTCTATTTTATTTACACGTCTGCTTATTTTACCCAATGAGGACCCAAAGCAGCTTACATTGCTCCCCTTCCTCCACTTTATCCTAACAACCACTATGGCAGGTAGGCAAGATAGAGCAACTGGCACGAAGTCAGTTTCCATAGAAGAGGGAGGGATTTGAATCTGGGTCTCTCAGATCTTAATCTGATACTAACTACACTGGTTCTCTAGATATTTTCCCATGCCAGCATCAACAGAAATTAGCCAAATGTAGGAAGTATTTTCACACCACTAAGCATGAAGTAGATGTGTTAAAATGAGAACTAGGTGGTATGCAAGGGCATGTCAAATACCCATCTATAGCACTTAAGAATCACCTACAAGCTAATCAGGAAAACTGCTGTTCAATGGAAGAGAACCAATGACATGGCCTCCTGCCTTACCCAAACCTAGGGTTTTGGCAGGGGGAGAGGGTTATGCAAAAGTTGTATGTACCTGTTTTCAAGGATGACATAACTCACCACAAGAACAGGCCAACCAATCATGTCTTCTCCCACCAGCAAAACTGCTAGGAACTGAAATGCATGTGGAGCACCGGGACACAACTACATTTAAGCCTGGTTCACTTTTAATATGATTGTGCCTTATGCATGGGCAATTACCCCAGACTTTTATGCTCTCCAATCCAGAGAAACTCCAGACATACCACATGTTAGCAAACTGACAGGGTGGGAGTGCTGGCAGAAGAGACACTCCTATAAAGGTACCTGCCATGTTCCCATTGTATCTGGGCTTGGATCTATACCACTTGCCCATGCTCAGAAAAGTCACACCAGAATTGCACATAAGCCATCATTCTGCATTCCCAGTTGTTGTCAGTGAGACAAGAGAGCACTCTTACCTCTGTCCATTCTCCCCTCAGGCCTATGTAAAAGATCTTTGTCGTCTCAGCACCAAAGTTCTTGGAGAAGTGTATTGAGAGATGATGAACGCTTGAAAAGCGAGCAATTCTGCAAAGGGGGAAAAAGTCCAATGTTCTGTCTGTAGAGCTGTTGTTACAAATACTTTCCAGTCTCTGGAGTTATAAACAACACCCATCATGACAGAAGTGTCAGCTCAGCAGGACAGAAAACAGGGATCTGTCTGTTTGAACTGCTGCAACCAGTTCCTGAAGCTCTAGCCCCTGGTCTTCATGGGGATGATAACAGCGCTAGGGTTGACCAAGGCTGGCAAGTTTGGTTTTATGTCTGTGGCTACTTGGGGGGAATTCCAGAAGCAGAATTCTCTTACCATTAACCTTTAGGGGATTTCACCAGAAAGACTGTGAAGACTTTCTCCTAACAAAGAATTCGGGAGAACCTAAAAACTTGCACAACCTTTTGCATAATTCTGATTGGCCCTAATGAAAGGTTTAATGTGGCTTTTGTCTTTACATTTTCCATGGGTGATGTGCAACATCATGCCAGGCACATAAGCTAATGCAAACAAGAGCCTGGAATCAACTGACGCAGCTAAAACCAACAGAACTTTGGCACGGCATGTCAGGAGATTCAAGTGTAAGACAGCAAAGCAGGAGCACAGAGACCTGCTGTGGGCATTTGCCAAATACAAGGATCGGGTAATGGCCTGATCTTTCAGTGCTCCCACTTGCAAGGAACTGCTGTGACTGAGTTGTGCAGCCATGAAAGCGCCTCTGCATTTCATGCAGAAGGTCCCAAGTTCAATCCTTCACATTTCCATTTAAAAAGGACAAGGCAGTACATGATGCGAAAGATCTGTGCCTGAGACCATGGAGAGCAGCTGGCCAGTCTGAGTAGACAATACTGACCTTATTTATATGTATTAATTCCATTCCATTTGTATTTATTTATTAATTCCATTTGTATCCCGCCCTCCCCGTGAACAGGCTCAAGGCGGCTTACATAGTCGGTACAAGGTACCATAACATCCACATAAAAACACTTAAAACATTTTAAAACAATCAAATAATCATAAAGTGCTAGTAATAATAATCATTCCATCATTAATTGAGATGGTGTGCTATATGATGTAACAGCAGACAATTTCCGACTCAGTGATCTTCTGGCATTGCACGATGGTATGGCTCGATCTCAAAGCTGGGGCCGGCCCATAACCACAGATGTTGGTGGTAGTGGTGAGGGCGGCTCCTAATTGAAGGCCTGGTGGAAGAGCTCTGTCTTGGAGGCCCTGCAGACCTTGATGGACCAGTGGCCTGAATCAGTATAAGACAGCTTCATGTGCATTCATCTGTGTCTCTGTGGGTGCGTTCAGACGGGACCTTTCTGCCGGCATAAACTGCACCGGTTGGAACCGGTGCAGTTTATGCCGGCAGAAACGCGATCACACGCGATCTTGCAGATCCCTCCGGTGTACGCCTGCTCACACGCTGCGGGCGTCGGCGTTTTTTTTTTAAGCACAGTTTGAGCATGCGCATAGGCAGCCATTCAGAGAATTGCGATCTTTGCGCATGCTCAAACCCCCCCCCCCAATTACATTTAAACTTTAAAGGTAAGGACTTACCTTTAAAGTTTAAAGCCCAACCTGGCCTCCCTTAAGTCCCGGACTCCTCTGGGAAGTTAAACTAAGGAATTTTTTTCTCTTAACAAACACTCAAGGCGAAGCTTCGCCCAAGCGCATACCGCTTACTTTTTTTAAAAAATGGCGGGGGAAAGCCGGAAGCCTCAGGCTTCCGACGGAAATGGCAAGGCACCGGTGGAGAGCGATCAGGCGCCGGGGTAAACCGGAAGCCACCGTTGCACTCAGTATACCACCACTTGGGACCTAGTGGCAGAGTGCAACGGTGTAAAGGGCTTTACACCGGTTAGGGATGGGAGGCAGATGTTCGTCGTGTGAACACCCGTAAGTACACCGGTTGGAACCGGCACCCTAACCGATGTAAAGCCCCCGTCTGAACGCACCCAGAGACTACTGGATGTTACCCAGTTTCAAAGTACCCCACACTGTCCTTCTAATCAGGGTACAGCTTTCAGTGAAAGGGCAATCACTGGGATATCAGGTGACAGGCTGAAGGTCAACACTAACTGTAAAGTCAAGTGACTCTTGAATAATAAGCATCCTGTCTTGATTTATCGGCAAGCCACCTTGGACCTCTAGTGGTAGAAAGCCAGGATAAAGTTTTTAAAATAAATGTGTTATGACTAAATGGAGGATTGGATGACTGGAAGCATAAAAGAGGCCACCCCAATACATGATACCAAAGGCTTAAGTGAAAGAAGCCTGAGGGGGCATAAAGCCACAGCCCTCCGCTGTAAGACCAGACCAGAGGAAGTGAAGGCCTTTATAGAGAGTCCATTCAGGTACTTTTGGGCAAGGATAGTCACCCTTCAACGTGGGACCTGTCCTAAGGAAGAAGATTAGTGAGCAAAGCAGGTATATTTATTTACCAAATCAGGACAATGTGTAGAGTCAATACAAGTTACTGAACATTTTACACAGAGAACTGAGGAAGAGGAGGCACTGTGCAACATGCTCACGGAGCACTGGAGCAACTGATGCAGTCCCAGCTGTGGGCTATTAACAAGCCCCAACTGAATAGTTTTCCCATCCTCTCAAGCACCCCAAGCAGTTTTCTGCAAGGAAGAAGCCTGAGCCAGTTTAACAGCTATGACTCTCCATTCTCAAGAGATGCTGGGAACTGCACTTCTGTCACGGAAGCACTGAGTTTTTAATGAGACAGACTCAAAGGATATGGAGAAGCAGAATTTGGGGAGGCATACAATACATAATGTATGTGGCTTCAGGAGGAGCAGTGCCTTCCATGATGATGGCAAAGGGGTAGCAGTCCTGTTAGTCTGTTGTAGCAAAATAAACCAAAGGTCCAGGAGCCCCTTAAAGACTAACAACCTTTATCTAAATATGAGCTTATGGGAGTCACAGTCCACTTCTTCAGATAAATACATGAAGAGGAAATCGTACTTGGGAATCTTACAGGGAACATTACAGGGTAGGAGACAAGGCTTAGTGTGACTTACAAGTCTTTCAAATGAAAATCTCAATGTAAGGGGAAAAGGGAGGCGATGATATAGAAAGGTTACATGTGGCTCTTGAAAACTCATACTGAAATAAATGTTAAGTCTTTAAGGTGCCACTGGACTTTTTGGGGGAAAAAACAGTGCCATACTTGGTAGGATACTCCAGTTCTCCTGCAACGTCATGGTTCAGGCTAAATGTCTGATCTGGCTCTCTGGCAGTATCATCAAAAGACATGTGGGGGGTATTCTTAAACCTGGGGAAAGGAAAGAACAGCAAGACTTTGCTTATATAAGGCCAGGGCTTTTTTTGTAGAAAAAGCCCAGCAGGAACCTATTAGCATAATAGGCCACACCCAACACCAGACACTCATTAGCATATTAGGCCACACCCCTGACAGCATAGCTCGTTAGCATATCAGGCCACACCCCATGCCTTCCCTTGGCTTGCCCAGGCAAGCCCCCCCTTGAAGGGAAGGGAAGGCAGTTTAAACTGCCTTCCCTTGGCTTTCCCCACCCCACGGCTGTGGGGAGCCCGGGCAAGCTGGCCCTTGGACAGGCCAGGGAAGGCACGGGGAGGCATTTAAATACCTCCCCGATCCTTCCAGGGCCCTCCCTGGCCCACCTGCCTCGGAGTCACCGGGGTGTGTGTGTTCGCTCTCCAGGCCTTCCCTCTGTAGCCAGGCACGCAGAGGTTTTGGCTGTAGTGGGCGTGGCCATCTCTGAAGCCAGCTGAAACTCTGTTCCTGTGAATTCCTGCCCAAAAATAACCCTGTATAAGTTTGCATAGGTTCCCCTTCCTCCCTCAGCACCCAACAGTGAGAATGTCTCGGTTTTGCAATAGGAAAAAGAGTCTCAGCTGGCACCAAGAATAACCAACTTAGAAGTAAGTTGAAACCAGAAGAAGAAAGTTTTCACTTTCTGTTTAAGACAAGGGAACTTGCCCCCCTATTGAAAATAAAAGGAACCGCAGGCATGGGCTTCCCTTGGGTGCCACTGTTTGTAGGTCAGTAGGGTCAGCATTTCTAATTAAAAGAAAACCGGAATTTACTGGTAATCAGTGTACTCATTTTAGCAACTAAAGGGACCTCTCAGTCTCATGCCCAAGCTGGCAGTCACTTCTTTGCACCTCACTGTCCCAATGAGTCCACGGATGGCAGAATATGATTTCCCCCCCCCCCACAAAGTGCTTGCAACCAACTGCTACAGGCACCAGCCAGACCTTCTTGCATGACTGCCACAGCTGATGCCATTATAAAGCAAAGCGACAAAATCCCCTCACAGTTCTTTAATAAAGAATAACACTTGCTTCAGTGGCCTCACCCATGATCCACTGGTGTCACTGGACTGGAAGACAGCCCTACGAACAGAACAGACCTGCAGAAGCCAATCTCTTGATTTGAACCAACCAGGCTCGATTCTTAGCTGACGGGCTTTTTAATATGAAAAGTTGTTGAAATCAACAGGAGGGGGAGAAGAGGCTAAGGTTGCAACTCTTTGCCTGTTTACCTGGCAGTCAGCCCCATTAAATAATGTGGGACTTACTCTTGTGTAAACATGTAGAGAACTGCAATGTTAACTGCTAATTCAATGCCAACAATTGAGCAGAAGATTAAAATGGTAGGAAAAGTTGAAGCAGGAATTAAAAGTGGTGGCGGACTTTTATATGGTGGATTAGCAGCTTCAACCACCCCAGCAAGTAATCTGATTCACCCCTCAGTCCCCACTTACAGCCGCATTTCCGATGGATGAGTGTCACCATCCTCTCCCATCACAATTATCCCTTTCAACTTCACATTGCCTGTAAACCTGCAAAAGAGTGGGTAAACTGGTTTCCAGGTAGTTATTAGTCAAACAGTCGAGTTAGCTTTTGTCATAAGCAGCTGTCATTTTCCAGAAATTCCTCCCTGCAGCCCAGCTTCCACCAGCCCATCCTCAAAATGCTTTGCTATTAAGGTCAAGCTCTACAAAACAGCCAGAGATCAACAGGTGCTGGTGAGTCAGGAATTCATTAAAAATGGGTACTTACGGAATATTAAACAGAAGCTCTTCATCGTCGTCACTTTCGACAAACTGGAAGGAAGAAATACAAAATGGGGTTTAGTGACTTAAGACTTCAGTTCTGGTTGCTAAGAAAGAAGCAGCACTGTGGACTCCAGTCACTGAAGAGTCACATAATCTGCTCTTTGGCACTTTGACAATGTCACAGGCCACTGGATTTTAATACTTAAAGTTTTTAAGCATGGTGGGATACACATGCAAGTAGTGGAGCAATTTTTCAGGCTTTAAAACAGATTTGCAAACAAGCGCACTAAAATTATTGTAGCCCACATTTTAAAAATCTAGCCTATCCGCCTACATCAGTTATTTATGTTGCATCTATAGCTTAAAAAGGACAGCCAATATGCAAAAGCTTCCATGCCTGGTCTCCTATAAGCAAATACTCAATACAGGTGTGTGGTTAAAGCAATCTGGACACAGGATGCACCTCTCTCATCTCTCTCAAAAATGACCCTGCCATAGACCCTGCCATCAATTCAACCCCTGCTACATTCCTCTTGCATCTCATTCCTTCCCAAAGATCTCTACATTGCTTTAAAACCTGGATTTGGGGAGCATGCTATATACAAAGAGTATATCAATATGCTTAATTTGCCCTACCTACCCCAATTGTACCAGAAAGTTTCTTAATATTTGAACCATTATACACTTGCTTTATATCCTGTCTTTCTCCCTGAAGTAGCTTACATAGTTCTCCTCTTCACCCTTTTATGTTCACAACAGCTTTGTAAGGTAGGTTATGCTGAGAGTGTGTGACTGGCTGGCCCAAGATTACCCAGGAAGCTTCCATGGCAAAGCAGGGATTCAAACCAGGGTCTCCCAGATCCTACTCCATCTTCACCACTTTAACCAGTACACGACACTGGCCAAAGACACCGCCAACTCTGAATCTGTATGACCACTCCCTTCCGAACCAACCATCTTCATGTCCTTAAAAATTAGGTACCGCTCTTTATTCTCCCCACCACCTAACAAGGAGGCAGGCACAATCTCGAAAGCATGAACCAGGCACCCACTAAGAAACATGAGCCACTGCTGAAAGCGGTACAGCTACAGCTATGTCTGCCTTCTCCCATCCAAGCATACAGGCTGACTAGGCCAGATTTTTGTAATTAGGCCACTATATCACAAATCAAAGTAGTGCTTGAATAACAACATGGGAAACCAATCTATTTCCTTTTGCTCTGCAGGAGGGATGGCTTATCACATATAATATCCTTAAAAGTACACTAGGATATCTTTGCAGGCTATCTCACCGCTAGTCTCCACACAAATCATTTCTGTACTGCAAACTAAACTAAACTACATGCCATTTATACACATGCTTCCTTTAGCAGAGTATGAATTACAAAATGGGAAACTTTCCTTGCTGAATTGTGATTACAAAAATCTTGGCTGCAAGTTTGAAAAAAGTTCTAATAGACTTTATACATCAGGACCAGGCAGGTTTCTTACCCAAAAGACAGCTAAAGAATAGTGTGAGAACAGTTTTAAACATATTAGAATATTATGAAGCTCATCCAGAGAAGCAGACGGCTCTGATATTTTTGGACGCTGAAAAAGTTAAAAAATGTATGGTCAGATGGATGCAAAATGTCTGTTATAACATAGCTCTGTCACAATGGAGTAAAATATGGAAAGTGAATGTTAAATTGACTAAATCTGTTTCATTCAAAGAAAATTTATATAAAATGTTTTATAGATGGCACCTAACCCCAGATAGGTTAGCTAAAATGTATAAAAACTTGAGTAACAGGTGTTGGAAATGTAACAATCATGTTGGATCATACTACCGTATGTGGTAGACATGTAAAGAGGTTCATAAATATTGGATTGAAGTACATGTTTTCCTACAGTCAGTCTTGAATATTACAATACCTTTTAAGCCAGAGATATTTTTGTTAAACTGTTTACCAGATGACTTCGATAAGAACCATAGATCCTTTATTTTACATGTTATAACAGCAGCCAGAATTTTATTTGCAATGACATGGAGGACATTGAAGATCCCAACACTGTATGAGTTGATAATGAAGATTATGGAATATGCTGAAATGGACACAGTAAAAAATATATTAAAAGGAAAAATGGAAGAATAATTTATGGGACCGTGGGGTTTGGAGTTTAGTCATCACCGAGCATTTTATGTGAGATAGGATGGGTTTTTAATTGTATAAAATGTTTTTATAATGAAGATATACTGTTATTTGTATTGTGGTTTTATTGTCGCAAGACTATCTTGCCCTGTAAGCCGCCCTGAGCCCTACGGGGGAGGGCGGGGTATAAATTTGAATAATAATAAATAAATTTTATAACTGGCTAAAACTGAAGTACTGAGAAAATAAGATGTGTCCCGATCCTGACGTCCCGGGCCTCTTCTGAGAACCCCCACCCGCCGCTGGTGTCATACAACCCCCACTCATAGCGTCCGAGAGCCCTGGGCCGGAGAGCCAGATGACGCCAGGCCAGGAAGGGGGTGGGGAAGAGCGAGAGCGGTGCCGGACTGCGGCGCAACCCCTCAGTCACCGGGCGCGCCCCCGGGTTCGCGGCTGGAGGGCCAGCCTCGGGAGGCCGCAGGCAACGACGACGTCGGCCGGTCCGGAACGGCCCGGCGATCCCGGGTTTCCTGCGCCACCCGGCATGAGCCAGGCGACAGGCTCCACCCCGGCGCCGGACGGGGATGAAGGGCCCCGCCCTGGCTGGGCGTCTGAGCCTTTATACAGAGGCGGGGCCATGAGTGATGGACACCCGGGTGTCCAATGGGATGAGGGACAGTGGGGAGAAGGGTATAAAAGGGGAACGTGTAAGGAGGCTGGGGAGGAAGAGGACTGCCAGGTCGAGGTAAAGGAACGTGCGAGTCCATGGTCGGAGAGAGAGACGACCTGGCAAACGTAATCCTAAGGACTTGTGCAGGGGGACTGAAAGGGCTGGCCACGGTGACGGAACCTGGCAGCCCAACCCCATTTCTGAGGCCTCCGTTCCCCTGGGGAGTTGGGGATGACTCTCGGACACGGCGTCTGGTCGTGGGGAAGACCCGCCCGTCCATGCCAGGGCGCCACAAGATTAAATGAAGAATAATGGATATGTGAAGCTCTAATGAGAAGATTTGCATGCAGAATGTTAAATTTTGTGTGTGTGTGTGTATCCTTTTTCCCTTCTTTCCCCTTTCCCTGTGCATAAACTAATAAAATTCTTTTAAAAAACAAAAAAATGGGAAACTTGATTATATCCTTCTTGGTGATGATTTAGATTACAGGTTTAAAGTCAATCTGCTGTTCTTCACCCGTTCAGCTCTTGCCCTTCTCATAGCTTCTGCTAGAAAAGATGACAACACTCTTAACTTATACCAGTTCAAAAAGTCAAAAACTTTACATTAATCCAAAACTAAATATCTAGTTTTTGTATTCATGTTCAGAGGCCATACCAGTGAAATGACTAGCAACTGGAGTCAGGTTAGGAAACTGAGATTAAATCCCACCCTCAGCAATTCAGATTAGGGAGAAACATGAACTCTAATCAGTCTGAACAAAATGCAGGTCCACTGGGGAAAATATTCACACAAATTCCATTTCCAGGGTAGAAAAGGGAAAGCAACTACCAATGTTGTTGTTGTTGAGTCGCACAGTTGAGTCCGACTCTTCGCAACCCCATGGACCACATCACGCCAGGCACGTCTGTTTTCCACCATCCTCTGGAATTTGCTCAATTTCATGTTCATTGCATCAGTAACATTGTCTAACCATCTCATCCTTTGCTACCAATGTAATTTACAATGTAATTTACTACCAATGTACGTTACAATGAAATTTACTACCAACGTAAGGAAAGGCAAAATTATCTCAATTTCCACACCACTACCAACATGCATCATTCAAATACTTATGCAGTCTCTTGAAGCATTTTTAAAAATAATCTTGCTACAACAATACAAACTCAGCTAACACCTTTGCAAACTTAAAATCACGCCATGGCTCCCCTCATTGGTAAGAAAATGGCTGTCTTTCAGTCCCATGAAGTAAAAAGGTGCTCTTGAGATAATGCTGCAAAAGGACAAGCCCTGTCTTCCACTCAAGACTGGACTGAGTGTCCCGGACCCTGGTGACCAGAATCTCACAGGTGTTTCTGTTATATTCATGATGAGCTCTTCACCTCACTTACAAATTGCCAGAGGATGCAGAGAAACTGCAATTTTGTAAACACGCATACACCTATATACCTTAAAGTCAATCAGCAGGGCATGTAGCAGATTGTGGCACAAACTTATCTTTCATTTATTTTTAGCTGTTTTAATTATTGGCATGTTTGCCTCATCTGTAAGCGGCCCTGAGCCCGCTTGCGGGGAGGGCGGCCTATAAATCTAAAATAAATAAATTCTTAGACGTCTTTTTACCCAAGCCAGCTCATGCTGTTCCACTCGCCTTCATTTTTATCCTCCTAACAACCCAGTGAGGTACGTCTGTCTGAGAGTGTGAGACTGGACCAAGGTTATCCGACAAGCTTCCACGGCAGAATGGGTATTCAAACCCAGTTCTCAAGATACTAGTCTACTGCTCTAACCAGTACACCATAATGCCTCTCAGACCAAAGGTCCGCATAAGGCAGTTTCATGCTCTTTTATTTAGTACCTCTCCATGCTACCGTCTTCAAGAATGGCATATATTGTTCTCCTCGCCTCTAATTCGTCTTCCCAACAACCACACTGAGAGGCAGGCTACAATATGAGAGTAACCGGCCCAAGGCCATCCAGCGAGCTTCCGCAGCAGAGCACGAATTCGAACCCAAGTCGCCCACATCCTAGTCTGACACTCTGACCGCTACAGGGGTTACTGGCCTGCCTCACCACAAGCACTTTTCTAAACTGCTGCAGGCTAAAATTCAGGGGAGCTTTCAGGTTAAAGAGCAGAAGCGACTCGTAGAAGCCGCCCGAGAAAAAAAACGGCAGCGGCGGAGTTCTCTACAAGACACGCATTCGCGCACACACACACAATCCCACCTACCTGCTGGCGGTCGCCGCGGTCTTCCCAGGCACGGAAGACAAGCTTCCCGCTGCCCTCTCTGCGCTCATTCAGGCACTCCAGCCGCTCGCGGTCAATGCGCAGGTAAAGGCCCCAGGCCTGGCCACGCCGCTCGGGAGGCTCTTCAGGATCGTCGCCATGGCAACAGCTGCCCCCGCCGTGGCTGTGCCCGTGAGACATGGCCCAGCATGAGACACAAGGAGAACGAAAAATACGCGGATGTCAACAAAGCCTGCGCAGGCGCGGCGCCCTGGTTTTACCAGCGTGCTCTCCGTCTACCTCCTGTCATGTGATGAGAGTCGCTTTTCCTCCCCCCCCCCGCCCCATAGAGACATACAAACAGGCACATAACCTAAACTTCCGGTATAAACTTCCGTGTGCGTGCGAAACGGAAACAATGGCGTCCAAAAGGTAATTCAAAGAGGTATGGAATGTGGCTTTTATCTACAGTTCAGCATAAGCACAACGGCTACTCGCAGCCGCTGTAACTGGTGCTTAAACAATTTTGCTCCCTATGCTTGTGTAAATTAATTTGCTAAAGCTGGAACAAAGTTTGAGTCCAGTAGCACCTTTAAGACCAACAAAGTTTTATTCAAGGTAGGAGCTTTCGTGTGCACGCACACTTCCTCAGATATAATGAAATGAAATTTACTAGTCCATACATATAAGACAGAGGTTAAAAACAGAAAATTCGCATACAGCATAATAAAGATATTTTAACAGATGCAAACAAGAATAACAACCTAACTTTATAAGGTCTCCATGGTTTGGATTTAATTCCGGGGCCGGGGGGAAACAGTGAGGTAAATAAATATGTCAAAATTGGAGATAGATGTGTAAATGTGTCATTCTTAATTGTGGAGTGCTAAGAGTAATTACCTGAGACCTTGTTGTTATGCTCCATCTGTCTCCTCTCAAGCAAGGAAGTAACTAATAGTATCTTTTTCTTTAAGGTGAGGTGATTTGTAGCACAGTCTTATGTCTTCTCTGTTACCAGGCCACAGAAATGCACCCCAATATACTATTCTATTCTACTATTCCAAATAAGAAATACACTAAAATAAAGAGGATGTATAGCCCTTCTTAGTGAGAATACAGATATAAGAACTGAATGAATTTAGCATATGTAGTGAGATAAGAAATCAATATCCCTGTTAAGTCCTGGGGGGTTGCTTTGATTGTTGTAATAATTTGTAATTCAGCAATTTCCCTTTCCAGTCTGTTCCTGAAGTTCCTCTGCAATAAAACAGCTACTTTGAGGCCACCCATTGAATGTCCTCGAAGACTGAAGTGTTCTACAGGTTTCTCAGTCTTGTGATTCTTGATGTCAGATTTGTGTCCATTTATTCTTTGGTGTACGGTTTGACCTGTTTGTCCTATCTAGGGAACCAAAGGGGATTGTTGGCATGTCATGGCATATCCAGTGTTAGAAGATGAGCATGTGAATAAGCCTGAGATGGTGAAGTTGATGTTGTTAGATCCAGTGATTGTGTTGTCTGGGTATATGTGGCAGCACAGTTGGCATTTGGGTTTATTGGAAGCTCTGGTACCAGTGTCCATGTTCAAATTAGATGTTGCATTATTGTGGGTGAGTTGTTTGAGACTGGGGGCTATCTATGCGCAAGAAAAGGTTTGCCCCCCCAGTACTTGTGAAAGAGAACTGTAATTATCCGTTATCCAAGAAGGGCATTATCTTCTTAACTTGCTTTAGAATACACCCCTTATGCTGAACAAATTAAGAAGATAATAATGCTACATTGGAACATAGTTAGTTACATACCGGGCTGTTCCAATAAACCATGTATTGGTTATAGAAAAACCAAGAGCATTAGAGACCATTTAATTAGAACAGATATCTCTCCGCGCAGTTATTCAATATTGGCAACACCTGGAAGTCATCGCTGCTGCAGATGCTCAGTATCTCCGCAAGTTTGGGAAACTGACAGACTAGATTTTCCGGAATTAAAGCTACATGTCCAACTAAAGCATTTTGCAAATTGTGCTACAAAAAGAGTAGTGTACATTATAAAATGTCCTTGTTCTAAATATTATGTGGGGGTATCTACATGGGCAATTAGGACGCGGATTGTAGAGCATAGGTCCCGTATTCGACAACGGCATACAGATTCTCCACTTGTTCCCCATTTTTTGGAGCACCAACATAATTACAATGAATTTTCCTTTGTTATTTTGGAAGTTTTTAGCCAGGACCCGCTTAATAAAATGGATTTTAAAAATGCTGATTAGATGTGAAGTGTACTGGATACATCGTTTAAAAAGTATTAGTCCTCATGGCTTAAACAATGATAGATTGTTCCTGTTTTCTATAATTAGTGATCGCACCTTTAATAAGGCGTCTTATATAAGGAATGGATGGATAACAACATCCCTAAAGCATTCTAGCTTTGGGAAGCATTTGCTGTTATGACTAGTGCCCGACATTACTGTATTGATGAATGATTCCTGTTATGGTGAGTGTAAAAAAATGAAAAAAAAATGCTATAGTATGGAATATACATATTTTAATGAAAAATTCTAATGTTAATATTGTTTCAGATATGTAAGTTTGATACTACATCACTCAATGGAAGAATAAGACAACAAACTTGTATTGTGGTGTATGAATTTTTATTATATTATACAATTAATCACAATTTTGGGTCCAATTTACGCAATATTACATTATATAAAATATTTTACCTTATAGTTAAGGAAGTTTACTTCTGAGGAAGTGGAACCTACGAAACGAAGAGAGAATCCAGAACCTTCGCAACTTGTTACTCAATACTTACCTGTATTACTACTTACCTGTTAACCTGTTATTTTCCTTGCCGATATGTAATTTATGGAATTTGTATGTATCTGATATTTATTAGGTTTTTCATGTTTATATGAGTGTACGTTATACAATAGTTGTGCGTACTATAGCGTCTCCCTGGCTCCCCCCCCCGTATGTGTTTATAAGCTGGGAGGTCTGCTTTGGATTGGTCCTGTGTCCAGGCCACCATCCCCCACTTCTGCAGGTGTGTGTGTGTGGGTGTTACTTCACCTTTTCTTCCCAGTCCTCTTCCATGGTGGCTTGGGGGCAGAGGGGAGCTCACAACACCCACCTGCTTCACAATTTTACCCTGGGGTCTGGGCTCACTATATTGGTGGCAGGAGTAGGCTGGAGAAGGGGCTTCCCCCCCCCCCGGCAGTGTGGGGTATCTGCCCAATGCTGCACTGCTGGCTCTCCAATCCACCCACATGGGTTTTCCTCTGCACCTCCCCCAGCCCATAAGCCTTGCAGTGAGCACACACCAACCCTGGAGCTTACTAGCTGCTGTCCTTTATAAAGTTTGTCTCTCTAGTACCTGGCATTACATTTTATGGCACACATGGCCCAGCCCAACAAAGTGGCATTTATGTCAGATCTGGCCCTCGTAACAAATGGTTTGACACCTCTGTCTAAATAAATTGCCAGTGGTAAAACTCTCCTCACCTATGGAAGAAGAGTTGGTTTTTATACCCCACCCTTCACTACCCGAAGGAGTCTCAGAGTGGCTTAAAATCACCTTCTTCTCTGCACAACAGACACCCTGCGAGGTAGGTGGGGCTGAGAGAGCTCTGACTGACCCAAGGTCACCCAGCTGGCATCATGTGGAGGAGGAAGCAATCAAACCTGGTTCTCCAGATTAGAGTCCGCTGCTCTTAACCACTATACCACGCTGGCTCTCAAGCCTTCAAAAAGAAACTAGAACTGTGTAACTCTTGTCTTTTTCTAGAGACCTTAAAGTACACCTGGGCTTCAGATCTCCCTGGGAGCAGTAGTGATGATATTTAGTCCCAGGTAGCAGAGAGGGAGGAATGCAGCAGACCCTGTGGGCCAGAATTTTATTTATGTATGTATGTATTTTTATTTACATTATGCATCATTTTATTTAAATATCCTTGAAAACAGAAAGGCAGGATGTAAGTATTCTAAATAAATATACATGACTAAATGAATTTCAGCACATCAGAGCCAGTTTGGTGTAGTGGTTAAGTGCGTGGACTCTAATCTGGGAGAACCGGGTTTGATTCCCCACTCCTCCACTTGCACCTGCTGATGTGACCTTGGGTCAGTCACAAGCTCTGGCACAGCTGTCCTTGAAAAACAAAAAAAGAGCAGTTTCTGTCAGAGCTCTCTCAGCCCCACCCACCTCACAGGGCGTCTGTTGTGGGGAGGGGAAGGGAAAGGAGTTTGTAAGCCGCTCTGAGACTCCAAAGTGAAGGGCAGGGTATAAATCCAATCTCTTCTTCTTCATCATCATATCCATGGGCCACAGCAGGAGTGGCCAAACTGTGGCTCGGGAGCCACATGCAGTTATTTCACACACACTGTGTGGCTCCCGGCAGGGCAGCTGGGCAAGCGAAGGGGAGGCAGGCCTCCCCCCCTCCCCGATCGGTCTTCCCTTCCCCAGCCAGTTCCCCATCCTGGGTAGGCTTGAGGCAGGAGGGGAGCAGAGAAAGAAAGCAAGTTTAACTTCAAATGCGTTCTCAAAGTCCCCCCCCCCCGCCTACAAATATAATTGGACAAATAAATATCATTATCAATATCTATTTTTACCCGTTTTGTTTTTATTTTTGGCAGTCTCATTTAATGTTAATAAAAAGCAAATCTGCATATTTTCCAATAAAAACGTATGTGTAATATTTGTTCATGTCATGCAGCTCTCAAACATCTGACGTTTATTCTGTGTGGCTCTTACGTTAAGCAAGATTGGCCACTCTTGGGCTAGAGTGAGACTAGACTTGTGATCTTTGTTGAAGTATGAAGTTCCCCTTGGATCAGCCACTTTAACCCTCTCCTGAGCACCTCAGAAGAGACACAGTTAATAAAATCTCTGTGCATAACCATGACATTAGTACCTATTTTTATAGCACAGCTTCAGGGCTTCTAACAGGCATGGCTGGCAGGCAAAAATTCAACAGGAACAATCTTTCACACCACCTGCTACCAATGTTCCCTCTAAGCTGTGGAGTCCTGTGAGCAAAAAATCCTACTTGGTGAGTGACCGGCATTAAAGTGGTGAGCGAGCGATTTGGCTGCTGCATCAATTAATTTGCTCTGGAGCCAACCTTCCTGAGCGGAGACAGAAATGGGTGAGCCGGAGGCTAAAAAACTGTGAGCTAGCTCACACTAACTCAGCTTAGAGGGAACACTGCCTGCTACCTAATCTTTGAGACACCAAGGCATGACCAGGTACTCGAACTGCCCCAAGGGTGTATTAAAGGCAGTCTTGTGTTCATCA